GACTATAAAACAGCCATCAAAGGCAGAGCTCTCCATCAGCTATTTCCAAATTATTATTGAAACAGGGAATCGTTTAGTTTGGAAAATTCTGTTCCCCCAGCTCTGCCAAGGCCACCAAGTGCCATATCCACAGGGCTGTTAAATCCCTCCAGGAATGAGTATTCCACAACTTCCGGGGTCAGCCTGTGCCCAGGGTTGGACAACCTTTTGATCAAGAGTTCCTGAAGGAAAAGCCAAGTTGGTTGGGAGTCAACCTGGGATCAAAGGAGGCGAAAAAAAGACCCAGAAACACCAAGGTCTGATGATTGTGAGGAAATAAAAATTCTGGTGAACCAGAAAAACCAGCTGARAACTGAGAGAATGAGCCGTGTTGAGATTCACCTTTCCATGGTAAAAGATCCCAGGCTGCCCCTCTCCATCACTGGATACTTAGGAGAAGACTCCAAAGACATTAAATATTTATTGTTGTAATAGAGCACATGTGGCTTTTTCTAAAGAAATGTTAAATTGAATGTATCAGACACACAAAATAAGTTTCTGGTGGGAAATGGTTGAACTTCCACCAGAAAAGGAGAAAACAACCAACCAAACACATGAAAAACCACACAAGGAGGTCCCAGCTGAGAAAAAATCCCCACATTCGAGTTTTCTACAGCAAAATCAGGCAGCTGCCTCTGCAAAAAAAACACCATGCTCCACCTGGGGGAGGAAAATGGTTCTTCCCAAGGAAGCAGCACTTCCTCAAGCAGTGCTGTCCCTGCCCCTGTTTTTTCACATGGATAAGGCAGAAATCAGAGCTCTGGTGAAAGCTGTTGGTCCAATAAAAAGAAGGATTTTAGGAGACTGATGAGCAGCCCCAGCCTCTCAACTCAGAGGTTCCCTGGTCAAACATCACCACCACAAGGCTGGATGTGCCAGTCGGGATTCCAGAGGGACTGCCGGCAAACCAGCACACAGATCCCCTTCTTATCCATGATTTATTCCAGCCCATCTCTCATTGCTTTTTCAGGGAAGCCTCGTTGTTTAATCTCACTGTGTCTTACTGTTTAACAGTTCCCACGAGGGAACAATTTACCCACAGGCTCCAAGGCAGCCGATGGAAACAATCCGGAGAGAGGGATTTAATGCGGCTCCGGCGCTAATGGACACGGAGGGGGGAAGATTATTTAATACAAAACAATTTTCCAGACGCAGCAATAGAATCATTGAGTGGTTTGAGTTGAAATGATCTCATTCCAACTCCCTGCCATGGGCAGGGACACCTTCCACTCTCTCAGGTTGCTCCAAGCCCCGTCCAACCTGGCCTTGGACATTTCCAGGGACAGAGCAACCACAGCTTCTCTAGGGAACCCATGCCAGGGCCTCACTACCCTACCAGGGAGGAATTTCTTCCCAGTATCCCACCTAAATCTACCCCTCTCCATATTTTGTGCTGGTAAAGCAAATTCCAAGGCARCTGCTCCTTGGGATCATCCATGGATGAGCTCCCAGCTCCAGGCTCTGGGCCACACAGAGATCCCAGCCCATGGGATTTGGTTTGGGTTGGAAAGGTCTTTAAAGCCCATCCTTTTCCAACCCCCAGCCATGAGCATGGACACATTCCACTATCCCAGATTGCTTCAAGCCCCATTCAACCTGTCCTGGAATGCTTCCAGGGATGGGGAGTCCTCGATGTCTCCATCCAATGTGTCCTCCTTGTGCTGGGGTTGCATCACCACAGATGCATCGCTCACCAGTGCTGCCTCATCCCTCACATCCACCAGCCTCATCGCATCCTCTCTTAGAGAATTCCTGCTCCAAGCCCCTGCATGAGGCCCCAAATGGCAGGAGGCATGTGGTACCACAGAAGAACTTTGACTGTAGAGCAGCTCATTAAAACATCTTCAGAAAACCCTGGGGAGARCCAGCGAGAGGCCCAATTCCTCCCTCTCTTCCCACTTCCCTCTCAGCGCTTCCTCCAGTGCAGGTGGCCCACCCAGAGGGACCTCCCATCATGACCAGGGTGCCAGGGAAGGGCAGGGAGCTCCAGGAAAATTGGGACAGAGATCTCCAAGGTGGGAATTGCTCCATGGCTTTAAGGGACACGTATGACACTGTGTTTCGGGATGATCCCTCTAGGAAGCATACATGGCAGAAARACTTCCTAACCCATGACCAAGGAACCTATAGGAATGCTGGAAATCAAAGTCCTAGCTCTGCCACCAGCTCCCTTCTGGAAGCAGAATCCSAGAATCATTTAGGATGGAAAAGCTCTCCAAAATCACCAAGTCTGACTTTTGACCAATTAATTAATATTGGGGGGTTAATATTCCTTTAACAAAGGACATGATCATGGTCTCATAGAGGAGCTCTTCCCTGTCCCCAAGGGTGGACTTAGACCCTCTAGAGTCCACATTCCTGAAAAAAAGGACTTGGGAACGCAAAATTAATGCTTTCTCACTTAATTCTAAATTCTGGGTGAAGCCAGAGCGGGTCAGTCCCGGCATCATTTGGACAAAGAGCAGTTGGAATTACAGCCCATGGAACGGGTCAAAGGTGGATCAACTTGTCCTGAGAATCCTGCAAGACATCCTAGGCAGTACTTAAGAGACAACACCGCCAATGACACGCCATAAATTATGGATAATAATGGACATTTTTGATGGAGGTCTGCTAAAAATCAGGAATTGTGTTTCTCTGGCAGAGCATGAAGGAAAACATGACTGGGAGAAGAGCCCAGTATGCCAAGTATCAGCACAGAAAAACCTAAATTCCTAATTATGGATCACCCCCGTCGGAGTTCATCCACCAGGATGCTCCACCAGACTCACACACCTTTGCATTCCGCGCTCTCTGTGTTTCAAACCAACATTCCWCGGACAGGGAAAGGCAGAACAAGGGAAGATTTACTCCCATCCTAAATAATTCACAAGAAAAGGGACTGCGCATCTTTAACAAGCCATCGTTTTATGAAGCAAGGTTAACATTTTTCCTTGATTCAGTGGAATATTATAAACTCTCCGGGGTCCATTTGAGGACTTTCTACTTGGAGCAAAGGCACGGACTCAGCACTTTTTATATTATTTAGAGAATAAAATTAACCCTTAATGGCCCAAGCTGGAATTTCTCCTCCCCAGTTCAATATGGCCCGCTCAGCAATTTCTCCCCATATATAATTACAGGCTGCTATCCATCATCTGGAGGAGAATGCTTTCCCGACATTCCGAAAGTGACGCCGTAAGCACTTTTCCTAATAGAATAAATATTCTAAATATCTCTTTTATATTTTCATTTAAATTGGAATATTTTAAAAATAATTGTCGGGACCCTGCCTGCGTGGTTGGCGCTGYGCTGGAGGGAGGTGGCAGGATGCCTGTGTTTTCCTTCCCAGTGAATGTTTATCCTGCATCAAGTCCCCCTCCACGCGCTGCCACAAAAAGTAATTAGGCCCAGACTAATTTATTAGAGCTTCCCATCACCGCTGCTGATGTCCTGTTTTCTTTAAAAGYCTCGCTTTTGGCTTTTTTCCCCTTTTCTTTTTGGCTCGGTTTTTGCTCTTTGGTAGTTTCTCCTTGGGAAAGGATGGGGAAAACACGGGACGGGGTTTAGTGGGACTTGACAGTGCTGGGTTAAAAGCTGGGCTCAATGATTTTAAGAGGTCTTTTCCAGCCTAAATGAYCCCAGGATTCCATCCAMTGTTGTGTTTGGATTCTGGGACAGGCTGGTGGGATCTGAGCACCTACAGCTTCGCTTGATGGGTCGCACCTCTGCCACCAAGCGTTACTGGGATGGAGAAAAAGAGAAGAACCCTCTGGTGCATCTGTAGTTTTCMKGGGAAACTGTGCCAGGGYCTCACAGGGAAGAATTTCTTCCCAATTTCCCATCTAACCCTGCCCTCTGGCAGTGGGAAGCCATTTCCYCTYGTCCTGCTACTCYATTCCTTGTCCAAAWTCCCTCTCCTGCTGTGCTGGAGCCCCTTYAGGCACTGGAAGGAGCTCTGARGCCTCCCTGGAGCYTTCYYTTCTCCAGGYTGGAYATTCCCAGCTCTCCCAGCCTTGCTCCAGAGCAGAGGGGCTCCATCCCTYRGAGCAWCTCYRTGGCATCCTCTGGACTCACTCCAGCAGYTCCACATCCTCCTGCTGTCAGACCCCAGAGCTGGAGGCAGCTCTGCAGGTGGGTTTTCWCCTGASTGGGGCAGAGGGGCAGAATTCCCCCTTTCCTGCTGGTCACAGTWGTCCAAGGATGAGCAGAAATCCCACACCATAAACCATAACTCGTTTGGAAAATGGCAAAAGAGAGTCAGAGCAGTCACTCAGATTCCCAAGGGAACACCAGCATGGCCAATCCTCTCTCTTAGCCACGACACGAAAAATTTCGTGTTTCCCCAGATTCCTTCAGAATGGAAAATAGCAGCTGGCTCCAAGCCCTGCTCCAGGAAAACTGCTCCCACAAGCAGCTCCCCATTCCCTCGGACGCCAAAAGCTCATGGATGAGGCTGCAGCTGTCCCCAGGGTGCATGTGAAGTGCGTGGCTCCAAACCATGGAGCATTCCCAGGACCTGGAGGTGGCTCAAGGAATCCCCCAGGGACAGGTGGATGCTCAGCAAGGCTGGTCTTGCTCCTAAAACAAAGCCACAGGATTTAAGGCTCAAGTTTGTGGAAAATAAGCATTAATGCCTATGGATTTTCTAGGTAAAACAGGGAACTATAAGCCTTTTCCTTCCTTTTTCATCCATTTAAGTGAGGGATTTTCAGGGCAGGTGCTTCCTGTACAGACACCGGTAAGACAGACACACCATGGAGGCTTTTCCCAGGGAAACTCCAGCACTTGGATGAGCTGAAGCCTTTGATTTCTTTCCCTTTTTTCCCAACCAAATCACTTGGCCAAAAGCCTTTGGAAAAGCGCAGGGCTGCTGTTCATCACATCACATTCCAGCTCTTCCCTGTGGTGCTGCAGCTCAAAGGAAAGAACCTCACAGCTTCGGCTTTGGCCCCCAAGAGCAGGGATAAATCCCTCTTTACCTTTTCTCCCATGGGACAATATCCTTTGAGGAAATCCTGGCACACTTCTGCCTTCCTGGACACGTAGACGTGGCTGTAGGGGCAGTTGCTGTTGCTACAGATCCCCTTCAAGTAGTAGGAACACACCGGCATCTGCAAGAGGAGGAGAAATCTGTCAGCGTTCCCTAAACCCGTGACTCGGAATTATCGCAACCCCAGAACTGAAATAAAACCGTGACAAGTGAAAAATAAATAGAAATCTTTTGCCAGCCACCAATCCCTGAGGTATTTTTAGCTCTTCCATTGGTCTCCTGCAAGGCAGCTCCCTGGTATTACGTGTTCCCGGTGTTTGGATACGCCGGGAGCAAAGGCGCTTGCCTCAGCATCCTTCAGGATGCTGGAGAGAGGGTGAAAAGCTGGGAACTGCCACCAGGAAGAAAAYTCCCTCCCTGCACAGTGTAGGGAAGGGATGGGGGAGTGTCATAAACTCTGGGAACACCTTTCCCAAGGGATGATGAAGTGATGGAGATGGGAAYAGCAGTGCAGGGATCGCACCCAGGCCGGCTGGTGAATTCTGGCTGTCACAAAGGTCGGAACAGCATCCTGGGGGTGTTTCCCATTTGGCTCTTTTGTGGATAYGGAGCTGGCTGGAATAGGGGTTTGATAAAGGCTCCAAAAGGTGCGTYCTAGGAAGGGAAAAAAGCACCTCCTCAAGGATTTTGGGAGGGCTGCGTCATTCCAAGGCATTATCCTGGAACCCCTCCAGGGCTGTGACGACTGTCCCTGTGTGCTGGGCCAGGCATGCTCCAGGAGGGAGGGAAAGGAGGAGGAGAGCCCGGGTTCCTGCCATGAGCACTGGAGCAGGAGGGCAGTGGGATACACAGAGCAGAGCCCTGATCCCGCACTCCCTCATTCCTGAGCTTCCGCCTCGTGACAGCCGACGGGGAAAACCGACGGAGCACGGATTCTCCTCATCGTCCTCGAAGCACAAACTTCACCTTCTGCCAGCTGTTATCATTAAAAACAAATTACCAGCCTGCTRCCATATTTCAGCATCCTTAACTCACCGGCTCCCACCGGCAGCTTCCTGCTTCCCACCCCGTACCAGGCAGCTGCCACCAGGAACGTGCACTTCCCAAAGGTCCGGCTCCTCCTGCTTCTCCATCCTGAATTTCCTTGCTGCTTTGCATGGTATTGATCCCTCCATTCACCCCAGCAGCATCCTGGTCCCAMCAGTTCGAGCATCCCCAACTAATATTTACAATTCTGCAATAACCATGGCCGGGGCTATCCAGAAAAAAATCCCTTATCCCTGAAGGGCACATTAAGGGTTGAACTAAATTGCCTCGCTGGAGGCCGAGAGGAAAGAAAACAAAGGGTGCTTTAAAAGAGGAGAGTTTATTTTTAATTGTCTTTTAACTGCAGACATTAACATAAAGGACAGGGCTCTGGGGCGATCTTTGGCGGTGCTGGTGGTGTGACCGTAAACGATTCCCTTAATGTAGTTTTTGATATAGAGCCCAAATTAGCTCTAATAAAAAGGGATAATAAAGGCAGCTCTCCGACAAAAATAAACTCCTCCTCGCTGTCAAGCCCGAGCCATTATCAAGAGGAAGCAGCGCTCTCATTTCAATTAACCTTGTTTGCACCCCAGCACGTCCACACAAATAACAATAACATTAATTCAAGGCACTGGGGCGCTGCAGCCGCCTTCGACAGCTTTGACTCTCTACAAGCTCTGGAGGCAGCAGCTAAATGAACCCGAAACTCCACGTGAGCCTCCAAATTGCTCACAACTGAGTTTTGAAGCTCTATTAGGGAGAAAAATGCTGATTCTTTCCGAGTTCCTCAAGGGGAAAAGCTGTTGGAACAGCAGCGGGCGGCTGCTCGAGTCCCGGCCTCTTGCAACCTTCGCTTCCTTCACATTTCCTGGCTTCTCCCTGTTGCTGGGATGTGTCAGTGGCTCTGATCCATCGAGGAGAAATTCCCTGTGTGTCACTTCAGTGGATGATCCTCATTGAGGGCTCTGCCCGCGTCTCCTGTGGAGCAAAATTCCTCAAGCGGAGAGGGCCTGGCACAGGTTTCCAGSAGAAGCTGTGGTTGCTCCATCCCTGGAAGGGTCCAAGACCAGTTTSGATGGGCYTTGGAGCAACCTGGRGTAGTGGAAAGTGTCCCTGYCCACRGCAGGGGGTGGAACAAAAAGAGCTTTCCCTCWTCTCCAGGCTCTTTTCTCCATGGTGGAAACCACTGAAATTTGGATCTGAAAAGCTCTGTGACCATCTGGAGCTGTTCTCCATCCCAGAGACCATTCCCTGTTTGGAGCAAGGGGTTTGCTGCTTAGGATGGGGAAAATCTCACTGGCGCTGTGGCAGCAGAATCCATGTAGTTTCCCATAAAAAACAGCGATTTTTCCCATTGAAAATAGTGATTATTGCCATGTTTCAGTGGGGAAACTGAGGCATGGGGGTGCACCAAGGTTGAGAAACAGTTTCGTCCTGATACCAAGAGCCAAGCCCTGCAATTCCTTGATCCTTCACCTCCTGGATCGGACACCCCATCCCAGTAAAATCTCACCACAGTGAGACACACAAAAACAACTGAAGCTTCTCAAATGAAAAGTTTTTGGGGTGTCCCCTCTCCAATAATCACAAAATGAAACCAAGAGGACCAACAAAATCARGAATCCCAAACCCCCATGTCATCATTGACCACAAGGAAAAAAAAAAACCAACATGAAGCACATTAAAACTTCAATTCAAACAGCCAAAACCCACCCATGCACAATTCCTCATCTGAGGAAAAGGTGGGATTTGCTCCAAAAAACCCAGGATCAGGAGGAAAACTGCTTCCTTGCTTCCTTCCTTCCTTCACCTTCAGCTCTGATAAATGAGGGGAAAACCACCTTTGCCAAGTTAATGGGGAGCTCCAGGACTTGGAAAGCCAAGTTGCCTCTTGCTTTGGGAAGCAGCATTCCTGTAGCAATAAATCACCCAGGAACAAGTTTGAACTCCGTGGAGGAGGCTGTTTCTCTTCCAGCCCTTGCTGATGACAAGGTGGCAAACAGGGAGACCTTTGAACCACCCTCAGGGCGGTTAATGCTGTGAAAAATAATCCCCTTTCCCCACGGAGTGTGGCAGGAAAAACGTGCTCCAAAATAATTTCAGAGCTGGCACCTGACTGCTTTGATTCTGGCCTGTTAATTAATGATTCATCTTGAGTTTAGGTGATGCTTCGTTAGCTCAGGATAAAGGTGAGATGGGCTGAGGTCACTGCATCCCATGGGATCCCATCCCAGGGATTCTGTCCCCAAAATGCTATTGGCAAACAGCTCCTCAATGTGGTCATTCCTTTTTAATTCAGTTTTATTCCCACGAAATTATCACTATTCTTCCCTAATCGGTAACGTGCTGCTAAAAGTTTTGGTTTCCATYGTTCTCCATTTATCCACCCAGAACAGAGCCCAGTAGACAAATTTTGGGGGGCTCCTTGAGGGGCCAAGACACACCAGCGCTCCTGGAGGGGAAACTGAGGCCACATCCCTACCAACAAATTAAACACACCAAGGAATATTCCTGGCTATGGAGACCACAAACTCATCCACATCCAACCATCAGATCCTTTGGTGGGTAAACCACCAACTCCAACAGTTCCTTGGGCATGTCCTGAGGCTCATCCAGGTTTTTGCCCTGGGACCTTCTAAAATTCCATTTAATATGAAGTTTATGAAGGATGAATTTCAATCCTTCAGCTCAGAGGTGCAGGCAGAGGGCTGCACATCATTTACTTGGATGACAAGAAGTTGTTGCCCTCACTAATTAAAAAAATTCTGGATAAAGCAACAGCTAAGCCCACAGCAAAACTTCCTTCATTCTTGGCTTCTTCATTTCTGAAGCCTGACTCTGTTTAGAGGATAAAAAAACCCCAAACTGTCCTTTTTTCCATCTATCAATCCTCATCCCCATTCCTGTGCTGACAAACCACGAGCCAGGGAATGCAGCTGTCCCTGTCCCTGTTTTATGTACTCGTGATTAAGTGACTCTGAAGAGAAATCCATGTAAAAAACATCTGGCGCTCCGTGTCTCCTTCGGAGCGACTTCCCGGATAAATTACGAGCTCCCCACGGACAAAGAACGTGCCTCAGGCACCTTGGATTCTGGTTTAGAGTCTCCAAAGCCACATCCAAGTGGAGATCCCACTAAACACAGGCTGAAGTGCTAAATCATCCCTGATARACCCAAAATAAAAACCCCAAATCATTTTTCCACCTCATGTATTTAAACCASTGAGCAACAAATACATCAGAAAGGTGGAAACCAATGAACTCCAAAGTTGTTCTGTTGTGTTTCAACCTGATTTTGCTKCCTAACTTCTTAGAAAGTTTAATTTATACCTCCAAGACCAATTGAAACCTCTGATATCCTCTGACCTGCACACAGAGGGATTTCCAGGGAAATTGGATCTTASGGAAGTAGGGAAGAATTAGACACAACTAAATGGACTTGATGATCTTGGAGGTCTAAAAAGACCTCAGAGGTCTTTTCTAGACCTCCTTCTGTTTTAGAACCATAGGCTGGGGAGGCCCTGGCACAGGTTGCCTGGAGAAGCTGTGGCTGCCCCATSCTTGGAATGTCCAAGGCCAGGTTGGATGGGGCTYGGAGCAACCTGGGATAGTGGAAGCTGTCCCTGCCCRTGGYCAAGAGAGGCTCCTTCCAGCCATGGCTCTGTCATGATTTAGGAGTCTGAACAGCTCAACAACAAAACTCCAAACTCAGCCAGAAGAGGAAGAACCTTCCTACAACCACCCCCTCACACCCAGAGCCACATTCCCATTGGGAAGTCCCACAGACCTTGTCTTTGGACACCTTGTGGGAAAATGGACAGGTCCCATCTGTCTTCTTGCAAGTGCCACGGAGAAACCTAGAGGTAAAAGCAGATGGAGAGGGTTGGACACAGGGTGGGTCACAAAAYACATGGTTTGACACAAATACACCCCCTAAATGAGCACAGATCCCTCTCATTAGAGGAGCAGATGATGATTCCTCATAGATTTTATCCTTTCATCACATCTGGCTGCTCATTTAGCAGGTAGAGCAATGAAACCCAAAATTCAGAGATGATGCTCCCAGAAGGAGGAAGGTCCTTCCTAGAGCCCTGATTGCTTCAGGTTGCCCTGAGAGGTCATGGATTTCCCATTCCTGGAAGTGCTCAAGGACAAGCTGGACAAGGCTTGGAGCAACCTGGGATAGTGGAAGAGGGCAGGGGGTTGGACTGGACACTTTCCAACCTAAACCCTTCCACAATTGTATGATCCCATTCCATGAGATGCTGGATGAAGCTCCAGGTGTGAGTGAGTGGCCAATGACCAGGCCAATGAACAGGAGGAGCAAAGACAGGCCCAGAACAGGAACCGAGATCCGAAAGCCTGTGAGGTTGTTTGGAGTCAGAGTTTTCCTAAGAGTGACCAATGTGAGAGCAGATTAACAAGAATTTAAAAATTATGAGGGAAAACTAAAGAATGGGATTGGAGCTGAAGCCACCAGGATGAGGAGATACAAAACTGGGAGAAATCAGTGTTGTCCTCCAGTGATCCATGGAAACAGAGCGGGATGGAGACACAAATGACCTCAAGGAGCACAATTCCTGAAACAGGCACGGAGTTACAGGATTTGTTAAGGGAGAATGAGTGAGAAGGAGTAAAATAAGTTAAAAAAAAACAATAAATCACTTTTCCCTTCTCTACGGTTTCTTATTGAGCTTTGATCAACTTCCAAGTGATTCCAGCACAGCAGCAATTTTATGGAGAAATTACTCCAGGAGTTCATCAGTGGAGTTGGCTTTTCTGCACTTTTTAAATGACTCATAATAGAGTTTAATCAACTCTTGGGCAGGTCTAATGAGCTGCCAACAATGATCAGCTCTCCTGGAATAAATCACCGACTCTCGGAGCTGCACGACGTCACAAGCTGAGGGATTCAAACCTCAAATGGATCTGAGGAATGCTGGTGAAGGAATCACCCAGAGTGCAGTCAGGGCAGGGGCTCATGTCACCCAGCCCAGAAAAGCAGGCTCCAATGGAACCTCAGGGACCCTTCCAGTGCCTAAAGGGGCTTCAAGAGAGACAAAGAGGGATTTGGGAAAAGGGATGGAGTGACAGGACAAGSGGGAATGGCTTCCCACTGCCAGAGGGCAGCGTTAGATGGGAAATTGGAAATTTTTCCCAGTGAGAGTGGTGAGGCCCTGGAATGGAATTCCCAGAGAAGCTGTGGCTGCCCCATCCCTGAAAGTGTTTCAGGCCAGGTTGGACAGGGCTTGGAGCACCCTGGGATAGTGGAAGCTGTCCCTGCCCATGGCAGAAGGTTAAAATTCAATCCACTTTCAGATCCCTTCCAATCAAAACAATTCCACATTTCTCTGGCTTTTTCTTGTCCTTGTCCTTCCAACCCAAGAGCGCAGAACCCACGCCTGACCCAGAGCTCTCATCCTTGCTGTCCTACATCTCTGCCATCACTTTGCTTCCCTTTGGAATACCCCACAAGGAAACACCAAAGCCAACCAATGTCCCACTTTCCCACGATTCCATGCCCATCCCTACCTGGTGCAGACGGCCACTTTCTCCGGATCRTGGATGTAGGGGCAGTTCTCGCCCCGATTGCACTTCCCAAAGCGGTTGTAGTACATGCAATATTCCTTCTTTTTCTTCTTCTGCTTGGCTTGACGGATGATGGCCAAGCTCCGCTGCACGGCGCGGCTGAAGGAGAAAGAGGGACAGGGTCAGGGAAAACTTCCAACTCCAACACAGCCATGACGTGGAGACGACACCTCAACAGCACCAGAAACCATGGAGGAGCCCACCTTTGGAGAGTGAAATATTCAGGGAGTTCATGCTCACAAGCCATTAAGTATTTTTAATTTTTGGCCAATTTTACCCCRAATCCTTAAAAATCTGCAAGGTAACACCAAGGGCACCAGTGAGATCCCTTCCCACCTCCATAACTCTGATTCTCCCCTCGGATTTTATGAGCATGGAGTTTCCCACGCTTTTGGGGGAATATATGGTGAGGAAGGAAACATCTTCTCCTCGTGTAGCACAGGATGCCAAGGCTGAATGATTTGGAGAGGCTCTTCAGCACATGTCCCACCAGCTGGGCCTGCTGCTATTCATGGCCTTCAAGCAGGCACCTGCTCACAGACCTCAAAAAATGAGGACCTACATGATGGCCACAGGAACAAAAAGTACAAAGAGCAGAGAAACTCCTTTTTAATCACCTGGTCCCACTAGAAACTACTTAAGGAGCTCAGAAGTTGCTTAGCACATGTTTTCCATGAGCTTCCAGCTGGAGAGGGAATCATCCAGTGGCTCCAGGACCAGGTGGAAGAGGGGAAGGGTTGAGATTGAGGTGAACAGAAACAAAGGAGGGCATGTCAGATCTCTCTGAGCAGATAATCTGGTGGTAGAGCAGGGCCAACTGCAGTTTTCAGAGGACACAATGCATCATCCATGAAAAATACAAGTTCAAGGAATTTATTTTTGGAGGAAATGCACATTTTAACCTCTGTAATTGTTGGTTGTCTGCAGCTCCTGGGTTAAAAGGAGGTGCAGGGCTAAATGCAAGGTCCTGGATTTGTGTTGAGTAATCCCGAGCACAAATCCAGGCTGGGGGGAGAATGGATGAAGAGGAGCCCTGAGGAGAAGGACTTGAGGGTGTTGATGGATGAGAAGCTCCACAAGACCCATYCACAGGAACCCAGAAATTCCCTCATGCCCTGGGCTCATCCCACATTGTGAGCAGCAGGAAAATTGGAATTCTGACCCTCAGCCCTGCTCAGGTGAGATCCCACCTGGAACTGTGCCTCCAGCCCTGGGGTCCAACAGCAGAAGGACCTGGAACTGATGGAACRGGTCCWGAGGAGGCCAYGGAGATGCTCCAAGGGATGRAGCCYCTCTGCTCTGRAGCCAGGCTGGGAGAGCTGGGAATGTCCAGCCTGGMRMAGGGAAGGATCCAGGAAGACCTCAGAGCYCSTTCCAGGGTCTAAAGGAGCTCCAGGAGAGCTGGAGAAGGACCTTGGACAAGGGTCTGGAGTGCCAGGACAAGGGGGAATGGTTTCCCACTGCCAGAGGGCAGGCATAGCTCAGATGTTGGGAAGAAATSCTTCCCTGTGAGGGTGGGGAAGCCCTGGCTGAGCCTACAACAACCTYGAAGTAGAAGCTGAGGAAAAGCAGCAGCCAGAGCTTCACCAAATCATCATCCAGTTCCAGAGCTGCTCCTCAAGTTCCTGACTCCTCCTTCTGAGCATAATTCTGAAGATGGAGCACATCATTCCCGCTTTGCACAAATACAGACCTGGCCATGTATCGGGACGTGGAGGATCTGTTCAGGCCAGGTGGAGAAATCCCAGGACTGGGTGTGGAGTGCAATCTCAGTGCTGGAAAGAGAGGAAAATATGGATCATTGCTTGGAATCAAGAAATTTTGCAGGAATTCACACAGCCCTCAGCACCCTAGGTCCACAAAAATGATAAGAGGGATGGAGTCCCTCGGTTATGAGGAAAAGCTGTGAGAGCTGGGAATGTTCAGACTGGAGAAGAAAAGGATCCAGGGAGAACTCAGAGCTCCTTCCAGTGACTAAAGGGGCTCCAGGAGAGCTGGACAGGGACTGGGGGCAAGGGATGGAGTGACAGGACACAGGGAATGGCTCCCCACTGCCAGAGGGCAGGGACAGATGGGATATTGGGAAGAAATTCTTCCCTGGGAAGGTGGGGAGGCCCTGGCACAGGTTTTCCAGTGAAGCTGTGGCTGCTTCATCCCCGGAAATGTCCAAGGCCAGGTTGGACAGGGCTTGGAGCAACCTGGGATAGTGGAAGGTGTCCCTGCCCAATGCAGGGGTTTGGAATGAGGTGATTCTTAAGGCCCCTTTCAACCCAAACCATTCCATGATTCCTCAATTTTTTCCCAAAGCATGGAACTCCCAGAGCACCCATGAGTGATGATGCTCCTTAGGGACTCCGCACATCTCCTGGTACCTCTGGAGCAGCCCAGGCAGAAGTGCCCCTTGCCAGCCCCAAATCCACCAGGAATTTTTTCCCTTAGCACCCAAACGTGTCAGAACACTTCCTCAAGCAAACCCCATGCTTCCACGATCAATCCAACAAATTTCCACGCTTGGCTCAGCCGCTTCTTGCAGCCGGACGGGAAAGCCCAGCACAAACTCCTGTCAGTGCAAGCATGGAATTAAATCATCCTTGACTGGTGCAGGGATGAATGAATGGGAAAGAAAGGCTGGGTTTCAGTTTTCCAGGTGGGATGAGAGCAGYTCAGTCACTCACCTGCCAGCCCGGGCATGTTGGGAAGTGAGTGAGTGGAATTTGATAGTGCGGCACCGCGAGCTGTCACTCGGCTGCCGGCGTCGGCAAAGCCCCATCTGTTCCCTCTGCACATCAAATTCCATCAATGGGGCATTTGAGCCATCACTGAGAGGGTTTTTTTCCCTGTTTTTTAAAATTCCTTCTTGTCCCAGGCTGTAGGAGCATCTTTTTCAGTGCTACAATAAACATTCATCAACTTTGGGATGCTCTGAGGCCACTGAAGCATCTCCAGTTAAGAGCAAGGTTGACTTCCCAAATGATGCAAGGAGAAAGCCCCAAATAAAAATCCAACCCTTAGGGTAGGGCTGGAGCAYCCTCAGCCCTCTGGAATTCTGTTTAATATTCCTTAAAGCAATTCCCATTAAAACAACCTGACAACCACATCTTGGAATCAGGGAATCATGGAATGGTCAGGGCTGGAAGGGACCTTAAAGATCGTCTTGGTTACAAAAAGGAATCACTAAAGAGATGAAGATAATAAAAAAAGGGGGCAACAGCTTCCTGCCTGTGGGTTGGAATTTTTATGGAGAAAAAATACACCCATGGAATGATTTTTTTTTTGGGGGGGGGGGACAGGTTTCTCCAGTTTTTATCTTCTAGCAAGAAGCCATGCTATAACACGATGTGCATTTCCCATTCCAGGAATTAACTCACATCCCAAAGGCCGTTTAACTACCCAAGATCTGGTCCCATCCACAGCAAATTCCATGCTGGATGCATCCAGACCTGGCAAAGCACCTAAAAGCTGGCAAAGAAACCCCTCCATCAACATTTTCCCACTCCCTAATTATTCACCCCATGTGCAAATCCTCCCCCAAATCACTAGAAAATCGCCCATATTTCTCTAAGAGGAGCCAACTCAGGAAACTTCTGTAATTCCACATTTCATCCATTGGGATTTATGGAGAAAACTCAGGCTCTGGCACGAGACTATTTCTGGAAGCTTTTGCATCGTGGAAAAGAAGTTTAAATACAAGTGAAAGCTTTGTGAGTGTCAAAGCAGCAAGGAAGAGAGTGCAGGAGAGGGGGTTTGATATTCCAGACTTTTCGGGAGGTCCAAGGAGCCTAAATTTGGATTTTTAGTAYGGTTGCCAACTCAAGATTCCCAGCTGGACTCACTACAAGAGCTTTGCTTCAATAAATACATTAATAAATAAATATTCCTGGCATTAGTAGAGGGTGCGTTATTGAAATTGGGGTGAAACTGGGCCATCAAAAGACMCTGGAAAATGGGACAAGGGTTAAATTCTGGCATTGGGAGCCGAAATTTGCTGCAGTCTGGCCTAAATTAAACAAAAAGCTGAAACAATGCCCCCAGGGCTCGACTTTGGGAGCCTTGTTTGCTCCAGACAAAACACTGGGCACATCCCAGTCCCAGATCTGTCCCGTTTTTCTCCTCAATTGCTTCCCAGCCGGGGAGAACATCGGGATGCAGTGATGCTGTCAGATCGGGAGAGTGACTCCCACATCCTCGGCATTGCCAAAGTCCCTCACTAAGGAAATTTAAATAAGAGCCACTGCAAGTTCTTCCCCTGTGCACACTGCCAGGCAGCAAGCACAGAACAGAAAGGGGAGAAAAATCAGAAAAATAAGAAAAGCTGCTGGGGGGAGCAGCAAGAACTGCACATTAAGGGCTTTTGAAGYGATTATGCCCAGCACGGTGGCGTCAGCCGGGATATTTTCCAGCCGGCAGAAGGGACAGGTGGATTTCTCTCCCCCTTTCCCGACGATTCAGTCGCTCGGAAGAGCATCATCYGTAAGGAAACCCACAGCCCGTGCAAACGGGGTTGTTCCTCGTAATGCATCATCCCAACCCGACGCTGGCAGCTCCGGTGGCTCGCGGTGAGAAGTGATTGTTGTTCCCAATCCAGCCGGGAGGCTCCGCGCGTCTCTCCGGAGGGAGCGGGAGCTGTCATGTTCATTAAATGCATGATTACAGCTATGATTAATAGCGGGGGCTGYAGCCTAACTCTTTCTTTTTTTCCTCCCCGCTCCTCGGAAGGAATATGCAGCCAAGCGGTCCCGCCGGTGTTTTCCGTGGCGTTCAGCTCAACGCTTGAAATCCCAGCTTTTGATGGAAAAGGGGAAAAAGGCAGAGTTTCTCCTTGTCAAACGAAAAATGCTTAAAACGAGCAGGTCAGATGCTGTGCCTCTCCACCAACATCCATTAAGTTAATCATCCTTATCCCTTTTCACCCTTAATCCCAAAACTCAGCTCTAGAGGGTCCAGGTCCATTCCCTGCACTCTGGGGTTTTTTTTTTTTCATAACCCCAAAACACAGCTCAAAGCTCAAGGTCCCTCTTCACCAGGGATGAGATTTCCCTTGGCAGCCCAGGAATTGCACTCAGGRGCGACACTGAGCTTTCCAGCATTCCCACATGGATATCTGGATGCWCCCATCCAATCTAGCCCCCCTGCTCAACTCCCCATCATCCAAGGGCTTGGGATGTGACAAACACGCCCTGAAAGAAACATTCCAAATATTCCTTTGCATTACAATTTGGCTGCAAGCATCACAGTTAATTATCACCTGCTTAATTATTTAAGAAGGACTTTACTCCTCCTAGG